CCATCCATCCATCCATCCATCTTTACCTGCTACTTCCTTTTCAGGTTGCAGGGTCACTGGTGCCGATGTCCAGCAGTCACTGTGCGAGGGGCGGGGGACACCCTGGACAGGTCTCCAGTCCATCACAGGGACACATAGAGACAAACGAGACAAACAACCACTCTCACTCTCTCGCCTATGGACAATTTAGAGTTACCAATCAGACTAACATGCAAGTTGTTGGTCTGTGGGAGGAAACGCACACATGCACAGAGAGAACATGCAAACTCCACCCAGAAAGGTCCCCGTCTGGGATTTGATCCGGCAACTTTCTCACTGAGAGACTGCAGCTCTATCAACTGACTGTCAGATGAACTGACTGCACAGCTGCAGAAAGAAAAGCTTTGCAGAGAGTGGTGAAGGCTGCACAGAAGATGTTGGAGTCAGTCTCCCCACCATCACAGACATCCACACCTCCAGATGCAGGAAGAGGGCCACCTGCATCATGAAGGACCACACTCACCCAGTACACACACTTTTTGCCCCACTCCCCTCAGGAAGGAGGTTGAGGAGCATTAAGTGTCGCCTGCCTATATTATAAATGCCCCAATATTTATAGTTTACTGAAGATCAGGCTCATGGATAGTTGGGTGGATGGATGGGTGGATGGATGGGTGGATGGATGGATGGATGGCTGGATGGATGGGTGGGTGGATGAGTGGATGGATGGATGGATGGATGGATGGGACATCAGGCTTTGTGGTTTGCAGCATTTAAAGGCTGCAGGTCTTTCCTACAAGGCAGCAGAAGCAGAAATAGATGGCAGGTGCCAAAAAGCACAGACCAGACGGGGTGGTCCGGAAACTTCTCAGAATTCCAGTGAAACTTAACAAGCATGTTCCTGTTGGATGTTAAAATGAAGTGTAACAGACATTAATGCATCAAGTATCACAACACAGCAGAGGAATGTAAACTGGAGCACTGGGACACCAGGCTGGACGCTAACGAACTGGAGCCAAATACCCCTGTAGTCATATTGGTCCCAAACCCCACACACTTGCCCCACAATGGCCGTTTAGTTTGTTTATGGAATACAGCTGGCCATGATGATGTTAGACATGACTCCACCTGTGGGTAAAGGTCTGCAATGGTTTATTTATGGAAGAAAAGCAGTCTGCTCCTCAGATAAATGGTGTTACCTTACTTTTTATATTTATGAACGTTTCTGTTCGGTGCCTGAGACGACTCCACTTGTGACTTGAAGCTGTGTAAATAAACTGAATTAAGTTGAATTGAGCTGAACGGAAGGAGCACAGCTGACTTTTGGAATAAATCCTTTCTTTTTATTTCAAAGTTTGCACATGCAGATAAATCTGCTTGTACCTTTCCACAATAATCCAGAAATAAAAAGTTAATCTGGAAAGCTCCAGTTTTCGCTCTTCAGTCCCAGAAACTTTGGAGCTCTACACCGTGCATCGTGTACATTTCTGTCTGGCTAGTTTTTGTGTTTCTGCCGGCACTGGAGCCCTCCTGGATCTTCTTTCATGGAGCCCATTATGATTTAAAATACTGGTGTGATGATGACGATGGTGCAGACAGAACGTGATGTTCCTTGACCTTGGAGTCTGGCTCATACGAGATTGGATTGTGTCCTTGTTTTTATTCTACGCTCCACGCTATCTGTCTGATCAGCCCGGGGTTGCATTTCCTCTTGCGGCCACAGGGGTTTGGCTACACTTTCATGAACCTTCTACTTTGTAATAATTTTTCCAGCTGTGGTCAGACAAACAGCTGCTTGAAGATGCTCTTGAAGCCTTTACATGGACATCTATAATCGTTCTGAGCTCCTCACAGCTCTCACGTTTGCTCTCTGGTCCATGTTCAGTGTGTTGCACACAAAGGTACCATTCTACCCTGCGGCACCTTTTTCCCCTTTAAATAGACAACTGGCTGATTAAAACACTTTTATTCTCCTATGATGCTAATTATGGTCAAACACAAGAGTTAGTACTTTATTTACCAAGAAATCGATACTGTTTTGCCATATCCTTGTAAAACAAACTAATCATTTATTTCCACAGTTGTTTTGCTTACTCTGTCATGTACTATCAGAATGCAGATGTATCGGACAATATTGTTTTCATCTGAATCACGTTTAGGAGAAACTGAGCATCGTATCAATGAGCTTTAGGGTTCAAACACGTTCTTTAGAATTTGTGTGCATGAATATTGGGTAAAACTTGGATGGCTGCTGTCAGATCTTTGACAGATCAATTGTGTTATTTCTCCAGAGGTGTCTTTCCTTTGGGCTGCTCACCAAGTTCACCACAGTTCAGAGTACTACAACCTGACCACGGCCCTCAGACAGTCCCTCGCCCAGCCTTTCACCTCGTGGGTAAGACATAATTCTCTCAAAGTACCACTCAGCAAATTACAGCAATAACAGAACGAGCATTATTTGTGTTGCTAGAGTCTTGCACATTTCATCCGTCCGTGCCATAAAACTTCACTGTTGTCTATTAAAAGCAGATCAGGGAGGCGCTGTGTTGCTTCGTTACAAGGATCACACGCTGTATTTGTTTGGAGTCAGTCCCTCATGCACAAACTGCTGCTGTAAATACTGGAGCTCTCAGCCTGCAGGCAACAAAAGTCTTTAAAGTAACGTCCAGCCAGTGTCAAGAACCAGCTGATGTACTGTAAATACACACGCTTCGTATTTGTATGTTGTTTCTTAAGATTTACACCATCCATAGGTGGAGTTAGAATGAAGTCATCCAAATCATCACCACTTTAAGTTGGTTTATTCCCACAAGACTTCACACAACACTGTGAGGGATGTATAAACGTGTTAGAGTAGTTTCAGAGCGTTCGGTCTTTCTTCAAGTATTAATGTACGTATGAACATGTAAAATACTAAATTCCCTCTTCTGTCTGGGATTGTTCTTATATGCTTCATGTATGAAACTCGTGGTTGAAAATATCCACACATTAGGCCGATGTCTTTGTAATACACTTGTTGTGTACTCATTTTTCTAATGCAAATATTTTGTTGAAATTGTAAAAAAAGAATGTGTGAAGAAACAACTTTTAATGCTCAGGTTATGCTCATGTATTAGCATTTAAGTCTAACCACGTGTATATTTTGCGTGCATCTCATTAGCTGGTTTTATTCACGTGACTGTTATCAGAAAATGACAAAATTCACAATAACAAAGGTTTTTACTGTACTTTCTTTTTTTTGTTGCTAACTTGACCTTGAGAAGTTCTTAATTATATATATATTCAGATTTCACGTTTGTTTATTTAAATCAGTCAGTGCATATTAATGAACAAACAGACAGTTTTTTTAAATGTTCTAGATCGGGGTGTCAAACTTACAAATGGGGCCAAAATTAAAACATTTTCAAACTAAGGGCCGGTTTCAGAATCTACATTAACACGAGTTAGAAACCAACATCTGTTCTTGGTTGCAGGTTCCTCAACAAGAGTTTGATCGGTCTCATTTGACATTTTCTGTTGAACTTTTGACAACATAATCAAAGATTGCTGAAAAAAATGAAAGTGATAAAAGTATTTTGCATTTAAAATAATATCATGGGGCCACATAAGATGTCATCGAGGGCCACATTTGGCCCCGGGCCTTGAGTTTGACACGTATATTCTAGATTGTAGATCAAGTTTCCATCTGCTTGTCCCTCGGCAGGTTGTTAAAATACACGAACACTGAGGACAATCCACAAATAAGTGCACACACAAGACGTTGATATAAAACGGTATAATAAAAAACAAAGATCACAGATGACACAAAGTCCAGGACAGACGTAGAACTGAACTGGTCATGTAAAAAGACGAATAAGAGACGTCGTCTTCTTCTTCTTTCGGCTTTTTCCTCTTCAGGGGTCTCCACAGTGAGTCCTCCTCCTCCACCTCACTCTGTCCTCTGTGTCCTCTGTCCTCTCTCCAACTACCTCCATGTCCTCTCTAACTGCATCATATGTCTCCTCTTTGTCTTTTTCCTGCAGCTGCATTTCTAACATCCTTCTACCAGTATACCCACTGTCCCTCCTCTGGACATGTCCAAACCACTGTCCCTCCTCTGG